AAATGTGTGTATATATACTAAAAAATGTGATTTTATTAGACCAGCTAACTATATACTAAAATAAATGGACACTATTTAATTCGCCCAACTACATGTATATACTAAAAATACTATTATTAGAGCAACTAAAACCGCAAACCCCCTAGGTCAGGCACGGGGGGGAGCCTCACGAAGGGTGTTTGCCGGTTATTTAGGTGGACTAATATTTCCCCAGCTATTTAGGTGGACTAATGAAGGAGACCCCACGTCTGCGCAGAGCCTTGTCAGCCGGCTACAACCCGCCCCCGTGCGGGGCTTTACTCTCCGTGCAAGGGGCTGTACAACTGTAAGGTTTAATCCTGGCAGGTTTCAGAACAAACCGCGGGTGTTAAGTTCCCTAAACTTTGCTATACGTGAGGGCGGGTGGGGGAGGTTTGGCGAGGACGAGAGTCGAACGCGTGATGTGGTGGCTCGCAGCGGTCCGCCTTGCGCGCTGAGCTACGCGGCCCCGGGGTGGGGGAAGCGGGCCGGGCCGTGCTGTGCGCGCCGCTAGCTCGGCCCCTGCGGGGGGAGGGGCGGTGCCTCCCCCGGGCCGCTGCGCTGAGCGCGGAGCCGGCGCGGTCCGAAAGCCACGAAAGCCCACGTATGCCTCGCCTGGCGTAGGGTGAAGTGCTGCTGTGGCAGCAAATTTTCGCTGAAGCCCCAGTGGCCTAATGGATAAGGCACTGGCCTCCTAAGCCAGGGATTGTGGGTTCGAGTCCCATCTGGGGTGGCACAGATTTTCATTTTACAACATGAGCCAGAGTCCTCTGCACTGCAAGTGGCAGGGGTGGACTGCGAGCACCTCGCCAGCTCTGGCATGAGATCTGTGCGCGCATTAATATAATTAATATAATATAATATATGTTTGCCTCTGTGTGTGTGTGTGTGTGTGTGTGTGTGTGTGCGTACACACACAAACCCAGGCATAGGCAAATTGGGTGAAAATGAAAAAAAAAATTACAATTGCAAAAAACCCAAAGTTTTACTGTTGTGCATATTCGGGACTGGCCATGTTATCAGTTGGGAACAAACTATTTACAGACACTGATACCACAGATGTGATAAGGACTTTTGCAACAAAAAAATCATTATCGCTGGCGAAGTGGGGGCCGATACTAAAAGTTTGCTTGGGGCCAGGCCCTGGGCTGGGAGCAGCAGAGGGAAGCCCCTTCCAGGGACCACCAGGGCTTCCCCATTGCTTAGCCCAGATCGCCCTCGCGTGGCCATTCCGTAAATCCCTTTGTCATGCCTTTGCTGTTCAAAAATGGGAGTGCTTCTAGCCTTGCTCTGTAACCTCAAACTTTTCCTCCCCTTTCCCAACAAGGACTAGGACAAGAAGCTTTCTCTTTCCAGTGCAGTTTTGCTGTAGTGCCTCGTCTCCAGGAGCAGCAAGCTTTGAGGGAACTTGTGCAACAAGTCACCATGGAAAGCAGAATTCAGCATCAAATGCACAAGGCAGTTGTATTGGTGAGCCCTGGATTGATGCTATTCTTTGCTGGTTTTCATCCAGTTCAAAAATATACCTTGCACTCTCTCAATGCACATAAAGGATTACTTTGCCTTCCTCCCATACAGGGCATGTCTATGTGAGACACTAAATGTGCAGTAGACTAATTCCACTGCACATTAGCACATCATGGCAAAAGCTGTGCTAATTAATCTACTGCACATCAGTGTCACTAAAAAGGCATGTGCTGGCACCACTGAGCAGCAGTGCCAGTGTCAGCACATTGAGTTAGTACCACAGGTACTAAATTTAATGTATCATAACTATGGTGCATGAATGTACGTGTAGATGCACCCACAGTAAGATTTAGTTTCATTTAAGCCTCACAACAGACAGTCAGCAGGGAAGTGAGGTCATGGGAGGCTTTAGGCCAACTCATCTACCCAGCTGTTTTGCTCATTAATGGCATGGCATAATGGCAGAGACCTGTCTGACATCAGGCCAGAAGGCTGACCATTCCCTTGGTAGTGCAACTATTTAAGCCGTTTAGTTTATCAAGCTACATCTGGGTTAGGAAATGCAAAGATCCATGTGCTAGGGCAGGGGTGGGCAAAATGCGGCCCAGGGGCCAGATCCAACCCATCAGGCCATTCTATCCGGCCTGTGGGGCCCTAAACATTTTAGAAAATTAATATTTATCTGCCCCTGGCTGCCTGTCATGCGGCCCTCAATGGCTTGCCAAAACTCAGTAAGTGGCCCTGCGCCTGAAATAATTGCCCACCCCTGTGCTAGGGGAACCAGTGCTGTTCTTATATTAACATGAACTGCCTTGAAAAGAAGGAACAAGTCAAGCAGTCCTAAGCCACTATCACCCAGGTCCAGATTTTATGCTTCTGTGTAAGCTTCAAGAGGAAAATGTAGAGAACTGCTTAGGGAATAAAATAGAGGGAGCACACTGTGCATGGGAGTAATGTCAGTGGGCTCAGTCGGTATTTATGTAGAGGCTAATGAACTGTTGGCAGGAGTCCTGGGAAGGGTGACATATTCCCTTGATGTACTAGAAAAGAGCACATTCCCTCGATTCAGAAAAGAGCTAATGCAGCCTGTGGGGTGGGTTCTCCAGGACTGCTAGGGAGGGATCTGGTCTCTTACCTAGGATCAGTGTGGATCTATAGACCTGATTGCCCTGCTCCCACCAGATCTAAAATCTGCTCTTCTCCAAAAGAGCTTCAGAACCCCTGAAACTGATTTAATCTTCTTTCCAAAGTCAGTGTGAGCCACTTTTTTCTGATTTCAAGTTTTCAACAGAAAAACAAGGGAAGTGAAGGGTGAGGAACATAAAAACTATTGCCATGAGAGCTCTTTCTTATTGGGGGATGAGGTTGAACCCACAGTCCCTGGTTTAAAAGGCCAGTGCCTTATCCATTAGGCTAATGGGGCCTCCTTCACAAGAAAAAGTGAGCTTTAATATATTTTATTACAGGCTATGCCAAGAAATCATCACTAAATAGCTTCTGCTTGTCTTCCTCGTTATTTTGTTGATAATAGTCAGTAGGTTGGGCTGGATTTTCGATGGACATACTGGCTCGTGACACCTTCCTTTTTGTTCATTGTGGTAAGGCCAACTGTAGACACCACTATTCTCGCTGTAACATTTTTTCATGGTTCATTAATGAGCATCTCAAAGACCTTGCCAGCCTTAGACTGGAAAAAGTAGTTATTTCATGCTGTAGCCTTTACAGTCCAGGAAATAGGCAAAAGGCAGGGATTTTGGTGAGGGAGCTCTTATTGGACCAACTGCATGGCTGGGATAGATTTACACAAGCTATTAAAATCCCAGCCATTAGTTCAATAAAAAATATCGCCCATAAAAATCTCTGCTTTTCCCCTAGTTATTTTATGACTTCTTGAGCCAATGGCGCTGGAGCTGGTAGAAAACTCTTGACTTTTATATATAAAGGTTTTTCTTCAAACATTAATGACTTGGTTCTCACAATACCTCCATGAGCTAGCTAGGTAGTGCTTTTGTTGCAGTGGAAGAGAACATTGAGGATGCCATCTGCAAAGCATGGGGCAGTGTAGAATTGGAATGGAGCCATGCAGTTAGCCCATAAGGCAGTGACCATAGCACCTGGTGGTCATTTAAGAGAGCAATTTAGGAAGCCCTGGGGCAGCCTCCCTCATATAAAAGTAAAAAAATAAAAATCAAGTTGTAGCAGGCAACTGGAGGGGTGATTGTCCACAAAATGGGATGCGAGAACTCCAGGGGCTTCACAACCAGCTCTGGAAGGACACCCTTGTTCTCAGTCACCAATCCAAGAAACAAAGCTGCATGTTTTGCAACCTAAGCAGAGTGAACAAACTATAGGTAAGAAGCAGGCAACTCTTCTTAGCCAATGGATGATACGTACTACCATGGAGGCCTTTTTCTTCAGTTTGGGAACTAGGAATGAAAAGGTGAAAAGGAATGAATTTGGGGAAAACCCTAAATGTAAGATCACCACATCTTATGAGAAATGCTTCCTTTTTTAGAATAGTTATTCAAATTAATTGGAGAAGAATCTCTTACTATTGTTGGTTAGGATAGTACCTAAGGACGTCAATCAAGGATCAGATTTACTTATTGTAAGTTTGTGCAGACAATAATCCCTACCTGAGAAATCTATGGTTTATCTAGACAATGGTTCTCAACCACCATGGGGTGACGTGTGATCCAGCACTTGCATATAATTCACAGGATAAATCCAGAGATTTCATGTTGCAATCCATAGCATCAAAGACATTCTGACCTATTGTAGGCTTTCTAAGTTCTCTGCAACAGAAGAACTGCTTTTATTCTTCCATAGGCAAAGACCAAGTAGAAGCTAAGAGCTGGCATTTTTGGAGGGATCTGGTGAGTTCAGTGAGGGGTGCCTTGAGTCTAAAGAGGTTGAAAGCTACTGGCCTAGATACTCCTGCTTCTGATAAACATGCTTACCCTGACAGTTTTATAAGTTAACTTTAAAAATATGCAACACTTAATTCATAGATGAGAACTAATTGTGACAGAACTAGATGAGTTAGAACTAGTTAAAAAGATGCACTAAACCCAAAAGAGAAAAATAAATTAGAAGCTTTCTTTTTCTGATGCTAACATTTAAATAACATCTATGAGATTTCTTGGTCCATCATCCATTTATTGTTGTGCCCTTGATAATTCTTCCGAGCAGTTTTTGCTTGTAGGAAAGAGAGACTGGAGTGCCAGGTCCATCTATATCTTGCTAACGCTTTCTGCTATTTAAATCTCCAAACCCATGACTTTTTGCTGAAAGACTGATATTATTACTTGCATCTTCAGGTGCAAAAGCTGTTCTCATATGAACACAGAAGGATTAATGATAGGAGCATGGGGAACTAAAAAAAAAAAATAGTTATGGTAGATGGTAAAAACCTAACCGTCTGCTTTGTCCTAAAACTTGGGCAACAGCTTCTTTTGCCAGCTTAATATTTTTCAGTTACAGCAAAAATTCTGTTTTTACTATGTACAAAAAGCAGATGTTTAAATACTTTATTTACATTTTTTTGAGAAACAACCCCCCCCAACATTTTAAATGTAGTTCACAATGCTGTCTACCATCCTTTTCAGCTTCCAGGGGAACCACTTTAAAGAGAGGATATCAAGGGAATTCTTTCCAAGTTGCTTTCAGTCGAAGTCTACACTCCTATCTTGTTTTATGGCTGAGCGAAGCCTTTTCTGTCGTAGTCGTTCGCGATTCATTTTCTCCACCCTAAAAACACAGTGAGAAAAATACCTCAGTCTGCTCAAGAACATTTAAAACCAACTCTTGTTCACTATTTGTATCAGCATGGGGCACCCAATGTTACGCACTATCCACACACACCAAGGCAGGCAAACTCTGGTCCTTCTATATTATTTAAGAAAGCAGCTGAACTATATCAAGTTCAACTGCCTTAAAAGGGGTAAACAAGTTTCTAGTTTAACCCCCAAACAAGATCATCAGGGTCAGTAAAATTCTAGATTCCTTCAGTCAAGAACAGCATTACACTGCTGGCTACAGATATTTGCCTTCCGGTAGGGTATTAGGTGCTGGTCCACACGTGTGGAAATAGGCATCAGATTCTGATACCTGGTGATCTGATCTCTTATGACAAATCCTATTATGGTGAATGATACATTACAAGAGATGCTTTAAAACAGTTCTGATCCATAGCTCACAGTAAAGTGCATGTCTGTTAGAACCAGGTAACAAGACCAGCATTTTAAATGGCATCCTGTCACAGCCCCTCCAAGACCTTCCTAGCATTATTCAATTTTCTTTCTTGCCCACCGTTGGGGTCAAAATTTTTTTAAAAGTTTGCAGGTTGCAAACTCAAAACTAGCCTGAATAACTGGATTAGGTCTACATGGATTTAAAGTGCAGCTCCCTTTTTGTTTCTTTTACCTGGCTATGAGCATCTCAGAAGTCTCCTTGCGTTTCACTTGAGGCTTCTCTGTGGCCTCTAGAATCATGTCTCTAATCTTTTGCAAACAATCAGCCCGATTCTTCATTTGGTAGCGGCTCACTTCGGAGTTTATGATGAGATCACCTGATTTACTGATCTTATTCTTGTGCTGAGGATAAGAAAGAGGAAAAATAATTAACCACAAGCCCTCGGTTCTGTTTTTGCTTTTCTTGGTCTGAAGGATGTAAAATTTCCCAAACTATGTTTGGGAGGGAAAGGCTGACAATTACCATCACAGCTATCTTCTGCCGCACATCTTCTGGAATCCAGTCAGCAGATGCCAAGTGGAATCTAACTTCCGCTTTGCTATTTACTGTAAGTGAAAAAGGAGAGTGGGTTATTTCACCAAAGCAGCTCACTTGAAGTGCCCTCTCACAGAATGAGTAATCAAAGCAGCTGCTGCTGTTGACATCCCAATTCCAGTGCAAGCAGTTTGCAGGAGCAGATAATGGTTAATAACTGTTGTACTCTTGTTCTGCTCAAATTACTCCACAGTTAAAGAAAAACAATCCAGGTATTTATACAGACTCCTGAAGAATAGGCAGTGTGAAATAAATTCTAACTTCTACTTCCCATAATACAAGGAAGAAGTTATTTAAAGGGAAACAGCCAGGTAGAACTGGATATAATAATTCTTTCATTCTTTGAAAGTTTAAAAAAAAAAATGTACTTTTGACTACAGTATTTAGGATATCGACTTTTCATGCATCTTAGCTTGTTCAATGAAAGCAGATTGGCATGTTTCATGTTCAGTTTCTTGGGAACTATCATAGTGCAATGATCAGGCTGAAAACAACATAGAGGAGCTGGAAGCAAAATCATTTCCACTGGATTAAGTCAGTCACACATGTTGCCATCAGCATCCAGTTTTGTAAAAGCTCCTTCTTGCAAAACCAAAAGGGTACACTGACTTTGACCCAAGTATCCCTTTAAATTCTTAATGGTCACGGAAAGCAAGAAGCCAGGGTCTTCAGGTTGATGAGAATTGTATTTAAACTAGAAAGCAGTAGCAATAGCTACATTTGGTACGCTGTTGTTAGGTAGTGCTATATTTTCTGTACCTTTGTTAACGTTCTGGCCTCCAGGGCCGCTGCTCCGGCAATAGGAAATGGACAACCTGTCTGGAAAATAACAATGGAGATGTATTTAATCCACAGCAACATTGACTCCTAGTCACAGAGAAGCAGAGAAAAGGAAGTTCTAAACTGGTGCTTGGGAACCCCAGTCCAAAAAGACAGTATTAACTCAGAAGCCATACTGATTCTCTCTGCTGGAGACTGATAGAGTTTCTCAAGTGCACAGACAATTGCAACACACATGCTTGGATGTTTCTATGCCCAGGCTCCCTGTTCTGTTGCAACAAAATGCAACTGGAGATTAAAGACTCACTTAAGGCTTGATCCCAAACCCTACTGAAGTCAGGGGGAAGAAGACTCCCATAGACAGCAATGGGGTAGAGATCAGGATGTCAGTTCTTAAACTGAATATTTTGAGAATTCCCTTTACAGCTCTCTCTCACTGGAGTTCAGGAAGCCTGTGACCAGGGTAAGTAATATTTTCAGTTTCAGAGTTTTAGCCCTAGTCTCACTGCTTTCTGTTAAGTTTGTGTTTCTCTTCCTTGAGTCCTACTTAGCCAAGTCATAGATTCATAGATTAAGGGTCGGAAGGGACCTAGTAGATCTTCTAGCCCGACCCCCCGCCAGGACGGGAGAACAACAAAAAACCCCAAAAAGAGAAACGGGACTCAAATGAGTCCAGCCAGGTAGGCATCCA